TAGCAGAATTGTCAAGAACATATACATAAGGGTGTCGTGACAAGACAGAAAGTAAACTTGGGTGGCGTCTCTAAATTCACACGGTCCCTTGTTGCTCTAGCGACTTAGGGAGTCCTTCGAAAAGACAAGCTGGATTTCGTCGTACTATAGCATCTACAGTACAGGAATGCAAAACAGCATGTACCATCCGGGTCTACCATGGAAGACTAGCCATCGTTAGGAAACCAAAACGTTAAGGGCAGCGCTCCGCTTGTGGACAGAAGGCAGTAATGAGGTGAGGCGTTAAGAAAGGAAATTCAGTGAGAAAGAAAGAAAGAGAAACAAGACACAGGTCAGAGCGTACTTACTTCCAGCATCCACTCGGTAAGCGTCTTTCGCATATGTTCCAAGATTTCTGACTGCACGTTAGTGAAGTAAAACGGCGAAGGCAAATAGTGCTGTTCGGTAAGCAGCATCTGGTCCAGCACCCTTGAATCGTTCATCAGTGCCGGGTCCACCTTCGGGTAGACAAACTCGTTTCGCGACGTCGAAGCGGTGGTGTCCATCTCCATCATCGCTACAACCACACAACCGACACGAACCTTCAATGAACACCACCGGCCATTAAATAACTCTGATCAATGAAATTATTCGAACAACGACGCGTACAGTTGCCAATCAATCATCGCCACTAGCAGACTTCGTTCGTATCAACCACTTGCTTTCATTTCTCCTCCCCACCGTGCCATCATCACCCTTACCACTGACAAGCACTCGACAACAAACGGTCCCGATTCTAACTCAACACCGAACCCGATGACAGCCTTCCACACCACTGACATGCAACAGCACTGATGTTAGCCACCCTCCCCCAAGTCTCCGGCTGCAATGAGTTATCGTCGATAGTCATTGCTGATTGGCTAGTAATTATGATTGCTACAGTATTAACAACTTGTGAATCGCAGGTTAGTGAAAGCGAACATCCGTTATAAGGTTAATTGAGAAATTGCTGAAAGCGGATCAAACGCGGTTTGTCCCTCAATAAAACGGAATTTTCCTATTTGGTATCAGCATAGATTAAATTAAATTATCTCAAAAAATATTTGCAATTGAAAATTTAAGTTATTTTCTGCAGTAATGATTCCTACTGAATGATTGAAGCTAAAAATTACAGGGCAGATCGTCACCATGATTGACTATATTGTGGACGATTGCAATTGTGAAAATCAATCAACGGATTTCAGACTAATTCGAGATCAAAAACAGTATCAGTCACAGTGATATCCTTTCCACTTCGATCTTTAGCATCTGCGTTGAAAACATTTTACGAAATGATGCCTCCAGAAACAAATACGTAACAAGGTTGCGTATTTGCACCTAGAATGACTGCAATTAAGCTAAAACTGTTTATCTTAAGTCAAAATTCATGTAAACCATTGGAGGCGGAGTTTTATTAAGCACGTTTTAAAATTCAAGTCGTTTAAAGATTAGAATGTAATTGACGAGGTGTTCCGCCGAAAATCGAAAGTGAAGTGTCTCGTAATTAAGCTGAGTAGGAACATATAATTGAAAACTCCTGCTTTAAGCTCAGTTTAAATGGGCGAATAGCTGTCTTGTTCCTACGCAGTTAAAACAATGACAGATATGTCGAAAGATTCACATTCATTAAGAAAACATTCTGACGGCCTCTTTTGTAATAAACATAACTAATCAATTTTTCTGACTTAGAAAAAGTGCTCTATTCGGTGCAGAGCTAATATAGTAACGGCAATGCTTGTAGTCTAAGCCAAAATGATGACATG